CACAGCAGCAGCAGCAGCAGCAGCAGCAGCAGCAGCAGCAGCAGCAACAGCGGCAGCAGCAACAGCATCGGTCTTCTCCTGCTGCTCAAGCGCATGCGCTTAAGACTTTCCTAGTGTATAATCACCTATTCGGTGGGCGCCTGTGTCTGCTATCGACTTCTCTATTCCTTAAACCCTAAACCCTAAACCCTAAACCCTAAACCCTGAACCCCTTGTACCGCTGGGGGTCAGTCTGCACCACATCTCAACGCTGCAGCAACACAGCTGGAAGCTGCTACAACTCTACAGCAGCAGCTGCTGCAGCACTTCCTAGGCTGGCGGGCAGTAGCGTTGCTGCTGCTGCTGCTGCTGCTGCTGCTGTCAGCGCTGCGGGTGTACGTACACCTCATACACAGACCGCCTCCATCCCTTCAAAAAGACAGCACAACACATTCTCCGAGTACAGCCCTCGGCCTCGGGACCCTTCACACCCCTAAACCCTAAACCCTAAACCCTAGGGCCCAGGAAGCCAACGCCTGCGAGAGGTGGCCGAGGAGGGGTCGCGTGCTGACAGTGCAGCAGCATTCGCAGCAGCAGCAGCAGCAGCACGGACGCGTAGCAACTACAGCTACAAACGCAGCGGCCACCGCAGCAGCAGCAGCTGCTGCTACCGCAGAAGCAGCAGCAGCAAGCGACAATGACAGCAGCAGCAGTAGCAGCAAGTCGCTCCCTCTTCTTCCCGGGCATCGCCCCAGCGCTGCAGCGTCGTGTGCTGCAGCTGCCTCTCCCGCAAAAGGCAAAGGCCTTCATAAGTAAACCCTAAACCCTAAACCCTAAACCCTAGAGCTCATGATGGTGCTGCAACTGCCGACGCCTTGGGATCGGCTTCTGGGGAGCTGCTTTGCTGCTGCACAAAACAGGAGATGAGACCAGCAGCAGCAGCAACAGCAACACTAGCACCAGCAACAGCAGCACTAGCAGCAGCAGCAAGAGCAGCTACAGCAAGAGCAGCAACAGAAGCAGTAGTTACATCGGCAGCAGCAGTAGCTACAGCAGCAGCAATAACAGCAGCAGCAATAACAGCAGTACCTACAGCAGCAGCACTAACTACAGCAGCAGCAGCAGTAGCAGTAACAGCATCAGCAGCAGCAGTAGCTACCGCAACAGCAGCAGCAGCAGCAGCAGCAGCAGCAGCAGCAGCAGCAGCAGCAGCAGGAGTGTGTGGGTGTTGCTGCATGCAGGCCACCCTGCGGGTCCCTTTACAATTCATTTTTGGGCTCCAACATTAAAGTGGGGTATTTCAATTGCAAACATTATTGACATGTTCGACAAAGACATCTCTGGTGTCTCTCCAGCACAACAAACAGGTCTGCTGCTGCTGCTGCTGCTGCTGTTGCTGCTGATGCTGCTGCTGTTGCTGCTGCTGCTGTTGCTGCTGGCCCTGGTGCTCCTCTTTACTCGATGCTGCTCAAGCAGAAACTCTTGCTATGGCGTCGAGCTGCTGCTGCTGCTGCGCATTCAATCGTGCTGCCTCAGCAGGCGTTGCTGCTGCTGTTGCTGTTCCTGCTGCTGCTGCTGATGTTCTGCGTGCTGCTGCTGCTGCCTCGTGCGTTTGCTGCTGCAGCGGTAGCAGCAACAGGAATTATTTGGTCGCGGTATAGTATGGTCATTACCCCGAAGAACTGGAACCTCTTCAGCGGTAAACCCTAAACCCTAAACCCTAAACCCTAATCCCTTGGTAGCTGACCTGCAGCAGACGGTAATGCGTACACCCAAACAGCAAACATCGCTCCCTATGCAGCAAACCCTAGTAGTCACTCGTTAAACCCTAAACCCTAACTAGCATGGGCCAGCAAACCCTAAACCCTAAACAACAACCTAACCTAACCCCAAACGGCACACCCTAAACACTAAACATCAAACCCTAAACCCCAGGCGTTCATAAGCAGACATTCTGGGCTCTTAAGTGCGCAGACAGAACGGCGAAGAAGGACAGCAGCAGCTGCTGCTGCAGCTGCTGAGCAGCTGCAGCAGCTGCAGCTCGCTAGCCGGGGTCTAGGGTTTAGGGTTTGCTGAGAGTTGTGGTTTTGCAGTTAATTTGGCAATGGCAATAACCGGATGCATACAACTCGCTCGTATTGCTCTTAAAGATTCAGAGACAAGCAGCAGCAGCAGCAGCAGCAGCAGCAGCAGCAGCAGCAGCAGCAAAGGCAGCAACGCTACTGGTTCTGCATAAGGCCGAGACTTTGTTGTCAGTGTGCTAGCCAGAACAGCTGCAGCAGCAGGAAGAGAAGCCGGCATGTGCTGAAGAAGCAGCAGCAGCAACAGCAGCTGAGCGGCAGCGGGAACAGCAGCAGATGCCTCAGCAGCTACAAAACAGCAGCAGCAACAGCCTCAAACAACTACGCATTATAGGAAAAGAATTTGTTCGTTAGCTGCAGCTGAAGCAAAACTACACAAATGCAGTAAGCATTTGTGGGGTGTTTGGTTGTGGGGAGACGACCCCAACAAACTTGAGACGATCCCGGGGGACGTGCCCCCTCTGGGATCCGATCCCGATTTTGTTATCAACGATCCCAGCTCTGTAAACGATCCCACATATTAAGACGATCCCCGGTGTGTCCCCAGTGAGGAGATGATCCCCGGTGGGGAGACGATCACCAGTGGGGAGACGATCCCATCTGGGGAGACGATCCTAACTGGGGAGACGTTCCCATCTGGGGAGACGATCCCATCGGGGGAGACGATCCCATCTGGGGAGACGATCCCAACTGGGGATCGCCTTGTGGGTTATCTTTTTGTGTAGAGACAACCGGCACTGAGGGCCGCAGCCTTTACTGTCTCCCCCAGTAATTGGGGAGACAGCAGCATTTACTGTCTCCTTTGTTAATGAAGGAGACAGCAACATCTACGTACTACGGGGACAGCGTCTACTGTCTCCTTTGCTAATAAACGAGACAGCACAAGCACTTAAAGCCTCCTTTATTAATAAAAGAGACAGCACGCTATCTCCTTCATTAGTATAGACAGCAGAACAATATAGTATACTGTCTCCTCTATTAATAAAGGAGACAGCAGAAGAATATAATGTACTGTCTCCTTTATTAATAAAGGAGACAGTACATTGTATTCTTTACTGTCTCCTTTATTAATAAAGGAGACAGTACATTGTATTCTTTACTGTCTCCTCTATTAATAAAGGAGACAGCAAGAGGAGGGCTTAAGACTCCCCAAGAGGAGACAGAAGAACGACAGCATCGCCCCGTACAAATATCAGAGGCAGCTTCCTCACGGTTTTCTGGCGAACACCACAAACCCTAAACCCTAAACCCTAAACCCTCTTAGCCGCATTTCTAAACCCTCATTAACTGCACCGGGCCCGCTGCAGCTACCGCAGACTCCGACAACTTTTAGGGTTTCACTCGTGATGCATCTGTTCTCCTATTTGCTGCCTAGGGTTTAGTGTTTAGGGTTTAGGGTTTAGGGTTTACCGAGAGTTTGTTGTTCTCATCAACAACCGTCAGGGTCTCCTCCGCATTCGCCAGCACCAAATTCAGGTGAACGTCATAAGACTGAGAAACAAAACATCTCAACAAACAAGGGTTTAGGGTTTAAGGCGCTATGTGAGGGTTTAGGGTTTGAGGCGCTGTGTGAGGGTTTAGGGTTTACGGCGCTGTATGAGGGTTTAGGGTTTGCGGTGCTGTATGAGGGTTTAGAGTTCGGGGGGCTACACACGCAAAAGCACTCCCATAAACGCAATAATAGCAGCAGCAACAATAACAACAACAGCAGCAGCGGAAGCAGAAGAAGCAAAAGCAGCAGCAGCAGTAGAAGCAGCAGCAGCAGCAGCAGCAGTAGAAGCAGCAGCAGCAGCAGTAGAAGCAGCAGCAGCAGCAGCTTCATACGTGCAGAGTTCCTTTGAGCTGTCTCTCTCCTCTGCACTTCACGAAGACCCTCTCCTCCATCGAGAGGCGGGCGATATCCAAAGGCTCTGCAGCAGCAGCAGCAGCAGCACAGGCAGCAGCAGCAGCACAAGCAGCAACAGCAGCAGCAGGGGAAGTGGGAGCTAGTCCAGAGGTAGAAACGCAGATTCCTGCTGCAGCATGAATCTGTGGAGCCGCATGCATGTATCAGCCGCTGCAGCTGCTGCAGCAACAACTGCAGCAGGCCTTACTACAGAAGCAGCAGGCGCTGCTGCGGCATCGTCAGGGGATGAGGAGGCAGCAGCAACTCGAGGAAAGCCTGCTGCTGCTGCTGCTGCTTCTGTTGCTAAACTGCTAATACAGCTGCTTTTATTTGGGCTTAAGCCGCTGCTTCTGAGGCTACTTGTCTTCCTCTCGCTGCTGCTTCTGCTGCTGCTACATTTGCTGTTGCTGCTGAGGCAGCTGCCGCAGCAGCAGCTGCTGCATCTGCTGCTGCTGCTTCCGCTATAAACAGCAATTCATACCTTGCAGCATCTGTGCGTTCTTCATTTTGAAGAAGAGAAGACGCAGAGACCCAGAGGCGAGTTGATGGTTTAGGGCTTGGAGATGAGGGTTTAGGGTTTAGGGTTTAGGGTTTGGGGTTTGGACGCCGCAGTTTGCAGCCAATGTATAGGGAAGCGTGAATTGTTCCCTCAATGCAGCAACTCAATGCTGAGAACTAGCGAGCTAAGCGCTTGTGCTGCTGCTGCTGCTGCTGCTGCTGCTGTTGGTGTCATTGCATGCGCAGCTGAAGCCTTGGCTGTTGCAGCAGCAGCAGCTCTCTAGCGATAATATGTAGAAAAATAAGAGAGGAATATCTTTATCTGTCTAGAAACAGCAGCAACAATGCAAGTAGATAAGGACGAGTATTAGCAATAGCAGTAGCAGCAGCAGCAGCAGCAAGAGCAGCAGCAGCAGCCTGTCGGCTGCCCTCCTCATCAGCAAACTCTCAACCATAAGCACAACACCTAAACCCCCTAACTCTTCTCCTCAAACCCTCTTCCCTGTGTGTTTATATGCAAACCCTAAACCCTAAACCCTAAACCCGTAAAACGCACTCGAGCGCCTCCGCCGCACCGGACCCCCTCTGCCTCAATCGGGGCTCGACAGCAACAGCAGCAGCAGCTGCAGCAGATGCAGCAGCAGCTACTGCTGCCGTTGTTTTAGGGTGCAGCAGCACACTAAGGCCAGCTGCCCCAAGGCGACGTCGTCGCCCCAGCAGCTGCTGCAGCAGCTGCAGCGGCTGCAGCAGCAGCAGCAACTGCTGCTGCTGCTGCGCAGCAGGTAGGGAGATGCCACCCGAGGAGACAACTGCCGCTGTTGCTGCTGCTGCTACCAATCAGCAGCAGCAGCAGCAGCATGATGCGAAGTTCGTGCGGCTGCTGGCGGAGAAGGGCAAGGTAGACTTAGCTCTCGTCAACACCGTGACAGGTCCTAAACCCTAAACCCTAAACCCTAGATCCCTAAGCTCAGCTTTTGGGCGTCCCTTAAAAGCATTGATTGTTTAGGGTTTAGGGTTTAGGGTTTAGGGTTTAGGGTTTGCTTCTGTGTCCCTGCAGGAGATGCGTACCCGCCTACCGGCAATTTTCCTCTCCCTGCATCAGGAGACAACAGCAGCAGCAGCAGCAGCAGCAGCAGCAGCAGCTGGAAGGCTTATCCAATACTGCCCCCAGCATTTCGTGCTGCAGCAACACAAACCCTAAACATTTGCTTCCCGGGTGTGAATTGGGCAGGTGTATGTACAGCAGCAGCAGAGCAGCAAGCAGGAGGAGCAGAAGCAGCAGCAGCAGCTGCTGCTGCTGCAGAACTGGGGCGCGAATTCACCCGACGTGTTGCTGCTGCTGCTGATCCGGCAAGACACACGTGGATCCTCGTACACATGCAGCAGCAGCAGAAGCAACAACAACAGCAGCAGCAGCAGCAGCCGGTTGCTGCGGGCGCCGTTCATGAATCTGCTTGGTCTCCCTCTTCTTGCTCCTCGCGAGCAGCAGCAGCAGCAGCAGCAGCAACCCCTGATGCGGCAGCAGCAGCAAACCCCACTTGTTCCCTAACCACCCGCCAGGCTCTGTTCTTGCAGCAGTGGCGTTGCAATGTTGCTGCGCTGCTGGAGGCGCAGCGGCTGCCTGAAGAGCTGCAGCAGCAGTTGGCTGCCTCAGCAACAGCAGCAGCAGCAACAGCAGGAGCAGCAGCAGCTAAAGAAGCAGCAGCTAAGGCCTCTCCAGCTGCTGCTAGTGTTGCTGCTGCTGCACAGCTCCAGGCAGCAAGGCGGCGCCTAGCAACCCGCTACGCATTCCTTATAAAAGAACGTCAGCAGCACCAGCAGCAGCAGCACCAACAGCAGCAACAGCAACAGCAGCAACAGCAACATCAGCCGTGCCCCCCCAGCAGCAGCAACAGCCGCAGCAGCAGCAGCAGCAGCAGCAGCAGCAACAGCAGCAGCAGGACGCCTGAGGAGGCGCAGCTTGCTGGGTGGTATTGGCCGTCAACTCTGCAGCAGCAGCGAGAGACAGCAAAATCGCTCGATGCTGCACTTGCTCAGCAAATTAAAGCCCAAAGAGTGAATCTGCTGCTGCTGCTGTTGCTACTGCTGTTGCTGCTGCTGCTGCTGTGCTTACCGGTGCTGCTGCAGGCGCTGCCCTTGTGTCCTTTGCTGCTGTTTGCGTTTTTATTTGCTGCAGTTGCTGCAGCAGACTCCATATGGCGTGTGCATATGTGGGCAGGCCGAGTTGTTGTCTTCTGACTTCTCTTGCCGTATCGTATGCATGCTCTGTTGCTGTTGCTGTTGCTGCTGCTGCTGCTGCTGCTGCTACTGCTGCTGCTGCTGCTGCTGCTACTGCTGCTGCTGCAGGCTTCCCAACGCCTGCTTGCTTCAAGGACTCATAAATTACCCCGTCTTCTGTGGCGCCTTCTCGCGGAAGCCAAAGAGGTAGAAACAGCAAGAGCAGCAGCAGCAGCAATGGCAGCAGCAGCAGCAACGGCAGCAGCAAGAGCAACAGTTGCAACTGCTGCAGGTGCAGCCCTATAACAGCCAGAAGAGGGCGACGTGCAGCAGTAGCTGCCGCAGCAGTAGCAGAAAACTAGGTGAAGATGAATACGCTTCAGCGCTGAACCGCCGGCATTGCTGCTGCTGCTGCTGTTGCTGCTGCTGCTGCTGTTGCTGCTGCTGCTGCAGGTTGAGAGGCAGCAACGCATCGTGCTGTATGAGCAAAGCTCTCGGGTGTACGGACGGCGGGATGTCTTCGCCGATTGGAGTGGGGAGCACCACCGCATGCGTCGAGCGTTTCTGCTGCAGCTGCAGCAGCAGCAGCAGGTGCTGCAGCAGCAGCAGCAGCAGCAGGTAAAACAGCTGCAGCAGGAACTCGAGCGGTATCGCCTCAAAGCACAACAGAAGTCAGAGACAAACAGAGAAGACAGAAGGAGAATAGAGAAGCAGCAGAGCGAGCTGAGGGCTTTACAAAGAAGGCTTCATAAAAAGAGGTGCGCCGATACTGCTGCTGCTGCTGCAACTGCTGCTGCTGCTGCTGTTACGGGGTCAATTGCTGCTCTAGCGCAGGTGCTTGTATGCTATGCAGCTGCAGAGAGATAAGGACGGCAGCAAGATGGTGCTAGAGGAGCATTGCGGCGCCTGACTCTGCTGCAGCAGCAGCTGCCGCTTCTGCTTCTGCCGCTGCTGCTGCTGCTGCTGTATAGTTGCAGTTGCATCGTTTCCCGCTGCTGCTGCTTCTCATGTGTTACCTCTCTGCAGGCAGCAGCAGCAAAAGCGCCGTCTGCTGCTGCGGCACATCGGGCGGCAGGCTGCTGCGTTGTTGCTGCGCCAGCCAAGCCAGCAGCAGCAGCAGCAGCAGCAACAGCAACAGCAGCACCAGCAGCCGCATGTGCTGCAACAGAGACTCGAGCAGCAGCAGCAGGCCCTCGACGATGCCTTGGCGCTGCTCATAGAAACTCAGCAAGCCCTTGAGGACTCCGCCTCTTCATCGGATGCTGCTGCTGCTGCGCAGCAGCAGCAGCAAAAGCAGCAACGTCTGCAGCAGAAGCTGCAGCAGCAGCACAAGCAGCAACAAAGACACAGGCTCGCACGGCCAGACCAACATCAACAGCAGCACCTGCAGCAGCACGGAAAGCAGCATCATCTGAAACAGCTGCAGCAGCAGCAAAAAAAGATGCCTGCCAGCCTTGGAGGTGAGCCGCATATTGAGAAAGGCCTTCGTTGGGGTGCTGCTGCTGCTACTTAGGGTTTAGGGTTTAGGGTTTAGGGTTTAGGGTTGGTGCGCGCAGATGCACAAGCATCCTCCTGGGTCCCGCCGCTGAAGCGCCGCTGCAGCGCAGCACAAGACACGATGCAGCAGCACCAGCAGCAGCAACAGCAGCAGCAGCGCGAAGGAAAACTCATGAAGCACTCCGGATTAGCCGGAAGTGAAGGTGCTGCTGCATCAGCTGCAGCAGCAGCAGCTACTGCAGCAGCTGCTGCTGCAGACCGACATGCGCCAAGCACGATGCGCCTAATGATTAGACCCATGAGTGCTGCTGCTGCTGCTCCGCAGCAGCAACAGCAGCAACGACACCCGGAGAAGCAGCACCAACAGCAGCAGCAGCACCAGCAGCAGCAGCACCAGCAGCAGCAGCAACGAAGCACGGAAAATCCCCAGGCATTTGCTGAGGGTTGTGGCAGCCATAGAGATCGACCCCAGCAATTGCAGCAGCAGCAGCAGCAGCAGCAGCAACAGCTGCAGCAGCAACACCAGCAGCAACAGCAGATTTCATCACGGACAACAGCAGATTGTCCTCTGAAGCAAACCCTCGAGAGCACGAGCCTGATGATGGAAGTTCGTCTAAACCCTAAACCCTAAACCCTAAACCCTGGAACTGAGCGTTAAGCACTCCCCGCCCCCATCAAAGACTTGGCTGCATCTAGGCTATGTCGGCGCTGCCTTGCTGTTGCTTCTCTGCTGCTGATGTGCTGCTGCTGCTCAGGAGGAGCAGCCGCTTTGCTGCAGCAGCGGCAGCGAAAAGGGGCCACTGATGATGCACTCATCATCAGCTGCTGTTGCTGCTGCTGCAGCAGCAGGAGAGACAGCTCTTATGCAAGACAGTGCAGCAGACCCAGAAGGAAGCAGCTGCCCGGATAACCACATCCACTGCGACACAGCAGCAGCAGCAACAGGATCTGCTGCTGCTGCTGCTGCGAGCAGTGTAAACGGCACTGCAGCAGCAGCAAGCGATTCCTGGGATCGTCTCCACGGCAGCAGCAGCTGCAGCAAAAGCGACCTTGAGAGCGACAGCCAGAACAGCTGGAACGATAGCGGCAGCAACAGCAACAGCATGAGCAGCAGCAGCAGCAACGGGAGCAGCACCAGCAGCAACAGCAGCAGCAGAAGCTGGCGCAAGGGCTCTACTGGAGCGCCGCTGCACGCACAGGGGGAAAGGGCGGCAGCAGCAGCAGCAGCAGCAACAGGGACACCGGCAATAGGAAAATACTCAGCACTTCTCAGTGCTGCTGCTGCTGCTGCAGGCCTCAGTGCAGAGGCGCTGCAGCAGCTGTCTTGGCTCGATGAGAGACGCTCCGACAGAACGTAACCCTTACATCTAAATAAACCCTAAACCCTAAACCACAAACCCTACAAAACCCTTAACCATAAACAAAAGCCCTTTCGCAAGACCACAGTCGTCTATCTAATTATAAACGCATTTGTTTTCACCTATGTGACAAAAGGAAAGGAGGGTACATTAGGGTTTTGGGTTGAGGGTTTAGGGTTTAGGGTTTAGGGGTTAGGGTTTGTTGTGCAGGGTTGTTCCCCCTAGCCAAGATCCTTACCGAGACGGATCTCTCTTCACTGAGTGCTTGCATTTAGAGGTGGGCGGTTAGGGCTCTAAGGGGTTAATGCGTAGGGTTTAGGGTTTAGGGTTTAGGGTTTAGGATTTAGGGTTTAGGGTTTAGGGTACCCCTCTGCCTTGCAGACGTCACTCTTCGCGCTGCTCCGCTTGGCCAGCACCGACAGCCCCCCGCCAGACACGGTAGCGAATATTCTTCAAGTGCGTCGTAAACCCTAAACCCCAACCCTAAACCCTAAACCCTAACCCCTAAGCCCTTACCCCAAACCCTCATCATAAACCCTTTCCCGAGGCCGCAACCCTTGCAATGAACCCTATGCCCTAACCTTAAACTTTGACCATTACCCTATCACCATAAACCCTAGCCGATAAGGCGCGCATTAGAAGACTGAACAGAGGGCAGCGCAGCTGTTGTGCGGCTGATGGTGCTGCTGCTTCTACCTCTGTTGCTGCTGCTCGCTGTTGCTGCCCCTCACTGTTGCTGTTGTTGCTGCTGTTGCTGCTGCTGCTGCAGTTGAATCGACTGCTGCTGGAGGCCAAGCGGCAGCTGGATGCGGGTCGCTACCGCCTCCTCAAGCAGATGAAGCTCCTTTTGGCGGAGGTAAGCCTCTGTGGGCTGTTAAGGGTTTAGGGTTTAGGGTTTAGGGTTTGCGAGCAGTCCTTTAAGCTGTGAATTTTAGCGTACGATTTGTTGCTTTCGGGACCACGCACTAGCCGATTTAGCCCGAGAGTTTAGGGTTTAGGGTTTAGGGTTTAGGGTTTGATTGCAGTCCAACTCTCCCTTCAACAACTTCCACCAACTAAGGCGGGGCTATCGCCTTTTAAATATGCTGGGCCGAGGCGGTTTTGCAGAAGTCTGGGAGGTGATATAGAAACCCAAAACCCTCCAACGCTAAACCCTTAAGCCCTAAACCCTCAACAAACCCTTTCCCCGCAGGTTGTTTTGGGGGGTCCGAGTGTCTGAGTGCTTTCTTTCTGTCTCTTTATTTGTAGCCGGACTCTGTTTTATTGTCTCTGCAAGCTGATTCATGTCTCCTGTGTTTTTCTTTTACCTTAGCATTTCTTGTTGTGTAGGGTTTAGGGTTTAGGGTTTAGGGCTCACGGGTTAGAGTTTAACGCTCGTGAAGGAGAGTTTAGGATTTCGGATTTATGATTTTGCAGTGGGATAGGGTTTAGGGTTTAGGGTTTAGGGTTTAGGGTTTGTTGGGTGTTCAGGTGTTTGACCCGCTTACCTGCTCGGTGGCGGCAGCCAAGCTGCACGTGCTTTCTTCTGTAAAGAGAGAAAGAGAAAGATTAAAAATTGTTAAGCGCGTGCAGAACGAAATAGAAATACACAAAGACATCAGGCCCCACCCTCATGTATCCCAAACCCTAAACCCTAAACCCTAAACCCTCACGTAAAACCCTACGCATCCCGTTCAAACCTTATCAGCAAACCCAAATGCCTAACCAACCTGCATATCTAAACACTAAACACTACTCCCCCTTAACGGGTGTGTAAGGAGTTCTGGGGTTAGGGTTTAGGGTTTAGGGTTTAGGGTTTGCGCTTCAGATTGTGGAAATGAAGGCTTGCTTTGAGATGGGGAACGATGTTCTCGCCAGCATCCTACAGTTCTGCGAAGGTCCTAACCCTGTTCTCTAAACCCTAAACCCTAAACCCGAGTTACGCAGGCCAACGCCTCTAGAAGTGGAAGGCAGTTAGCGGGAAGCGGACAGCCTGCGCAGCAGCAGCTGCTGCTGCTGCACGAGTAGTAGCAGCAACAGGGACAGCAGGAGCAGCAGCACTAGCATTGTCAGCAGCAGCAGAGGTAGCAGCAGCAGCAGCAACATCAGAATTAGCAGCAGCAGCAGTAGCAGAAGTGGTAGTAGTAGTAGCAGCAGCAGCAGCACAAGTAGCAGCAGCAGCAGCAGCAGCAGCAGCGGGGTGTTGGTGTGCGATATGCAGGAGGTGACCTGGACCACTACTTGAAGATTTCGGGGCCTCTAGAGGAGCCTTTGGCGGCTCGCTGGGTCCGGCAGATTCTGCTGTAAGCCTCAGCAGCGCACCTGCCACCCTATTTGAACTAGCTACTTAACTGGCTAGCTAAAGCCGCCTGCTGCCTAACCACCTAGCTACCGCTTGCTGGGTAGCTAGCTGGTTAGCTAACTGGTTCGCTAGCTGGGTAGCTAGCTGGTTAGCTAACTGGTTCGCTAGCTGGGTAGCTAGCTGGATAGCTTGCTGGGTTGCTAGCTGAATAGTTTGTTGGGTAGTTAGCTGGGTAGCTAGCTAGATAGCTAGCTGGATAGCTAGTTGGCTAGTTAGATGGCTAGCTAGATAGTTGGATGGCTAGCTAACTCGGTGCGACTGCGTTCATGTGTGTGAACCCCAGGGCCCTGCATTACTTGAAGCACCAACCCAATGGCAGCATATACCACCTGGTGCGTCCTAAACCCTAAACCCTAAACCCTAGGATAAGGGTTTAGTAGGATCTGCTTTCCAGTGTCTCAAGTGCCAGCGTGGCGTCCCAGCTTCTCTGCTGCTGCATCTTTTGAGTCTCGATGCTGAGGTTTGGTGCATGCAAGCTGCATGCATGCATGCATGCATGCATGCATGCATGTGTCGATGCATGCGTTTTTGTTTGGGGCTGGACAGGACGTGAAGCCTGGAAACGTTTTGCTGCAAGAAGGAGACTGCAAGTTAGCAGACTTCGGGCTCAGCTGTTTCGTCCCTAAGGGAGAGACAAAACCCTTTACTGGGGGAGGGACCCTCTGGTACCAGCCCCCAGAGTGCCTGCTGCTGCAGCAGCAGCAACAGCAGCAGCAACAGCAACAGCAGCAGCAACAGCAGCAGCAGCAGCAGCAGCAAGTCCGACAGCAGCACAAGCAACACCAGCAACCCCCGCACATCGATGCCGCCCCTCAAGATCGACTGAAGAAAGAAACCTCTCCCAGGGACCAGCAGCAGCAGCAGCAACAACAACAGCAGCTGCTGCCTCTAGTGGTGCTAGCGGATGAGAAGGTTGGTTGCCGCTGCTGGCTCCCTTCATGTTGCAGTTGCGTAGCTGTTGCTGCAGCTGTTTGTCTTCATTTGCTGCGCTTCAGCAGGCATGCCATGAGTACTGCTAGGGCTGCTGCCTGCTGCTGCTGCTGTCTCTTGCTGCTGCTGCTGCTTACGATCGGCCCTTGCATTTGTTGTTGCTGCAGATCGACATATGGGCAGTGGGGTGTATCCTGTACGAAATGCTGTTTAACAAGTAAGTCCCCTTTGGGGTCCTGCAACAGCAGCAGCAGCAGCAGCACATGCTGCAGCAGCACAAGTAGCCACCACGCCGACAGTCGTTGCAGCAGCAACAGCAACAGTTCACTCTGCCGCCGGTTTCATGCATGTTGAGGCGGCTTAGCTCCAGTTACTGCTTTTGCTGCAGCTGCAGCACCAACTTGCAGCAACAGCAGCAGAAGCAGCAGCAGCAACAGCAGCAGCAACAGCAGCAGCAGCAGCAACAGCCGCAGCATTGGTGGGTATATGTGTGCTGTTGCAGGCGACCCTTCTGCCGCGGACTTCCCCCCGGCCATGCCGACCCTTCAGGTGGGATGTGCATGGCTGCTGCAGGACCTGAGTGGCTGCTGCTGCTGCTGTTGCTGCTGCCGTTATTGCTGCTGTGGCTGCTGCTATTGCTAGCAGTTGATTGTTTGTGTCTGTCGCTGCAGCGCACATCATCGCCAACGCTAAGGAAGGTCTGATTGTTCCCAACGGGCCCCGCAAGATCTCAGATGCAGCAGAGGTGAGCGAAGACCTGCAGGAACAGCGGCTGCTGCTGCTGCTGCTGCTGCAGTAGCTACCGGTCTGCTGCAGTAGATACGGCTGCAACTGCTGCATGCAGTCGCAAGCGTCCGTATGGATAGGTGGGGTCGCGAGGCAGCAGCAACAGCAGCACCTGCTGGGGTTGCGGTTGTTGCTGCTTTTGTTGTTGCTGCTTTTGTCGTTGCTGCTGCTGGTGCTGTTGCTGCTGTTGGTTGCTACTGATTCTTGGGTGCATTTTGGCTTTTGGCGTTTCATCTGGCGGCCCTGCTGCTGTCGCATCTGCTGCTGCTGCTTTTGCTGCTGCTGCTGTTGCTGGTGCAGGATATGCTGCGGCGTTTGCTTGCGTACGACCCTCGGGAGCGGCTGTCTTTAGAAGAAGCCTTAGCACATCCTTTCTTACAGCGGCCCCCAGCAGGCGCTGAGCTTGCCGATAGAATAGAGGAGACAATTCGGGCTCTTGAAAAGCAATAAGCAGCAGAATGCTGCTGCTGCTGCGTTCTGCTGCACCTCTGTTGGTGGCTCTTGCTGCTGCTGCAGCAGCCTGCTGCTGCATACACAGCACGTGGAGAGCAGACTCTGGAGAAGCCATTAGCGGCAGAATGCGGCTTCCGCTGCTGCTGCTGCGGTTGCACCTCTGTTGGCTGGTGCTGCTGCAGCAACAGCAATTGGGCATTGCTGCTGCAGCAATAGCAATTGGGCATTGCTGCTGCAGCAACAATGCCCAATTGCTGCTGCAGCAACAGCGATTGGGGAAGAGAAAATTCTTGCACTGGAAAAACTGCAAGCAGCAGAATGCAGCAGCAGCTGCTGCATTCTGCTGCGCCTTTGCTAGCTGTTGCTGCTGCAGCAACACCGCAGACGCAGCGGGTGATGCATGTCCTTATGCTGTTGCGTCTGCTGCTGCTGGAGAATAATGAGGAGGGAGATAGAGTTTGTATATAGAGGTAAAGACAAGAACAGATGCATGTAAATATATTTAAATAAACCCTTTTGTTTGTGAGAGAGTGAGAGAGACAGAGAAAGAGAGAGAGAGAGACAGAGACAGAGACAGAGACAGAGACAGAGACAGAGGGCGAGAGAGAGAGAGAGAGACGCAGAGACAAAGAGACAGAGAGACAGAGACAACTGCGATCAAGAGACAGAAAACAGAGACGAGCAGGCAAAGAGACAGACAAAAGCAGAACAATGAGACAGGCATTAGCAGAGACAAAGACAAACGCTTCGGTGAAGAAGGAAAGAGGCGGAGACAAACAGAACACAGAAACAGGGACCGAAGGAGACAAAGAGACAGAGTAACGCAGAGAAAGATAAAAAGAGACAATTGCGATCAGGAAACAGAGACAAATAAAGACAGAGACAAAACGAATTCATTGATTTAGAACAAACACATTATTTGCATCTTCTGAGGACAATGGGCGTAGCCGCGGGGTGGTGATACCACGAAAGATCCCTCCAGCAGCACCAGCCCCAGCAGCAGCAGCAAGTGCAGCAACTGCAGCAACTGCAGCAGCGGCAGGAGCATCTGCAGCAGCATCTGCAGCAGCAGTAGCAGCTGCATTAACAGCACGAACATATGCAACTGCAGTTGTTTTTCGTTGTTATTTTATGTGTTTTGTCGCTTTAACCAGAATGAGCAAGAAGTCATAAGTAAGTGGAAATGCCTGTATTGTTGTTGCGGCTGTGTTGCATGCAAGAACAAGAGAAGCAGATAACGAAAAGAACCTTTTCTCTGCTTTGTACTGGTGGTTCATCGAAGGCCTCAACAGCAGCAGAGAAGGAGAAGGAGGCGGAGGGATTATCTTCTTTTCTTTTGTTGTCTATTTGCTTCTATGCGTCGTATGCTTGTTAATGCAGTGTTGGTTTCTTTGTTGTTTATTTGTTTCTCTGCATCGCTTGTTCATTGGCTTGGTGCTTGCTTCTTTGTAATTCATTTTATCATTTGTTTCTGTGTGTCATTGGTTTCTTTGTGGCGCCTGTTCTTTTGTTTATTGTTTGTTTTTTTGTTATTCATCTCTTTCGCTGCATCACTTGCTCACCCGTTTAATATTTGTTTGTCCGTCGTTTGTGCCGATGTTTTTGTTGTTTGTTTCTTTTCATCATTTGTTTCTTTGAGGCATTTGTTGCTTCGCCGTAGGAGTTCACACAGAAAGTTGTCAGCGTTTTCGCCAGTTCATGCAATATATATATATATATATGTTTATAATATATATATATATATATATAAACATATATATATACATGTTTATGTATATACATACATATATATATATATCATATATCTGTATTATATGTATAAAGCTTTACAGTTCACTTGTTTGCACTGAACAAGTTTCTTTACTTCGTTCATCTAAATATTTCAGTTGTTTAAACTAACTGTTTTTTCTTAGTTGTTCGTTCTTTCATAGTTTTAACCCACCTTGCAGCAAAGTCACTTGCTCATTTTATACCTTCTCATTTCTGTGATTTATTTGCGTTTTTGGTTTTCCCCTTCTTGATTCGTTCAGGTGTATTATTTGCTTTGCTTTCTGTATTTTTTTCACTCGCATGTTTTCTTTTCGCTGCTTAGATTGGTTTATTTGTGACTTGTATTTTCCTTTTCCTGATCTGTTGTCAATATTATTTGCTTTCATTCCTGCGAGTTGGTCAGTTGTACACTTTCTTTTCATTTCTGTGGTTTGCTCATTTGTATCCTTTTTCTCTTTTTTTATTATTGGATTCACGGTTATTATTTCTGTGTTTTGTTCCAAGATATGTCCATTTCTATTCTTTGTTCCGTGTGCCTTTCATTCCCCTCCTCAATCTGCATTTTATTTGTTGCCTTGCGTCTTAGATTCCCTAGACTATTTCTTCTCGTCTAAAGTCCCCTAATTGGTTGTCGGTTTGTTCCGTCTTTTCTTTCTTTTTTTTCTCATAGCAGCTAGCTGGCCACACAGCGCATATTCATAGAGTGAAGGAAATTTGAAAAAAAGCAAACCCACCAAAACGGAACAGCTAATTCACAACGGGCGTTTTCTGTCTTCGGCAACAAACCCAGAATAAACCTACTCAAAAAACAGCAGAAGGCCTATTAACGGCACTAAAGGCAGACCCAATTCGAATAAACGAATACAGCCATGATACAAAAAGACGAAGATTCACAAAAAGGGACAAAAACATACAGTAAAAAACCCAGAAAGAGAAAAGTTCACTGGCTTTTCAGGAACTCTCCGCACCTATGCCAACCCACCCACAGCTCTCGCCGAACGACAGTTTCTGCTGCTGCAGCAGCAGAAGCAACTGCTGCTACTGTTGTTGCAGTACAGTGGTTTAATAAACATAGTTTTTCTCATAGAGGGATTTTCCTGCTCCAGTTCCTGCGGCGTCTCCTGCGTAGGTGCCGAGTTGTGCTTCGCTATTGGCCTTCGCGCGTTTGAGTAGCACTTCCTGGGCCTTAGCTTTGTTTTCGTTGTTTCCTCCCCAGGCCTGGAGTGTTGAGGCTTGGAGGGCGCGTCCGTAGGAGAAGCTGAGTGCCCAGGGGTGAGGCCCCATTTTGTTCATGGCATTCAAGTTGAGCGTCGCTTCTTCTTCTGATTGCCCTCCCGAAAGAAAGGTAACTCCTGGCAAGGCGGGAGGCACAGTGCGCGCCAGAGAACGAACAGTGAAGAATGCAACTTCTTCAGGCTTAGCCTTCGTCGGGCAGTCTGCCCCCGGAGTCACCATGTTGGGTTTGAGCAAGGCTCCCTCCAGCATGACGCCCTGATCGCTGAGCTGTTTAAATACAGCAGCCAAGACCTTCTCCGTCACGCGCGCGCAGGTAGTGATATCGTGCGCCCCATCTGTCAGGATCTCAGGCTCTACAATCGGTACCAAGCGGTTCTGCTGGCAAATGGACGCGTAGCGTGCAAGGCCGTAGGCAACTTCAGCAATTGAACGCTCGGAGGGCTTCCCCTGTGCAGCGTTTATCGAGAGCACAGCGCGCCACTTGGCGAAACGAGCACCCGCTGCGTAGTACTTCTTGCAACGCTCTGCCAGACCATCTAAACCCATTGTCGCTTTTTCTTCGTCCGTTCGCGGGATCGTCTCCAACCCCTTGTCCACTTTGATTCCAGGAATAATGCCCTGCTTCTTCAGCAAATCCACCATTGGCACCCCTGCAGAGTTCTTCTGAAATAAAGTCTCCTCAAACAGTATGCAACCCGATATGTACTGACCCAATCCCTCCGTTGTAAACAGCAAATCACGATATGCAGCACGGTTGCTCTCGTCGTTCTTCACCTTTATGCTGTCAAAGCGCTTTTGAATCGTGCCTGTGTAGAACAATAAACCCTACATGTGAACGCAGGCTAACATGCATGCATATAGGCATGTACGCACGCAGGAATCCTTTCTTTCAGCCACTCTACACGCGTGCGCATATGTGCAGGAACAAAATATTCTTCCATTCTCAGAAGACACAAACGTTCCCTTCCCCGCCCTGCGCCCAGCTCCCCGCGAAACAGGCAAGATCTCTTTGTTGAGTTAGTCTTTCTTTATTTCAGTAAGATATAATGAGCAAAGGGTTAAACCTCTTCGTCGAGTTAGTCTCCATTTATTTCAATAAAGAATAATGAGCAAAATGGACAAGAGTTGCTTCACTATCTGCTGGACAGAAACCCCGTGAGGCGGCGAACCGGTCGATTCGTCGGCAGCGAGGATGCCTTTGCCAGGGGAGGCGATGGCCTTGGCGGTGGCCGCCAACTCCTTCGCGATATCTTGAGGAAGTTCCTGCAGCAAACCAATTGCAGGCGAATTGAACAGAAAGTAAGGGGGTCGAAACACCCCGGGCTCGGCCGAGGTCACCTCGGTGAAACCTGGGGAAAGTCAGGACAATTTAGCGCTTCAAAGTAGCCTTTCGATAATGCTTAAGGTTTCTAATGGCGTATAGGCCGAAGGATTTCTTTTCATGGATAAAAAGAAGTGGACAAAGTGACGTGCTTCCACACCCCCCGATGTTACACCGGCGAGGTTCAAGGGCAGCGGCTTACCATTGTCGTAGTTGCAGAAAGCGGTAACGGAGGCGCAGAAAACAGCGAATAAAAAGGAAAAAGAGCCAGAAAATCAGAGTTTATTTAGTTATGCCACAAGGGAATGTTGAAGGTGCTATAGCAACTACGAACCTCTCTCGACGCACCGCCGCCAGGCTGCTGCACTTTGCATTATCGCCGTGGCTGGGGTGCGCTTCAGAAGTTGCGAAAGACACGATGCAGCTTTTTTATTGAGGTGAATATTCTGGAATATATTTTATATTAGTAGGAAAATTTCCCCTTTTCTGCGCCAGTCTATTAACCAATGCATAGCTCCGCCGCGCTTGGGGCTTCGCTTTGGGCCGAGACCAAGGCGGTTACTGTTGGTTGAGTTTATTGTATTCACTAAAAAATGCATGATGTGGCTCTACAACTGAGAAAAAAGTAGAATTAGGGTGCTTTTGCTCTCATACGGGCCCTCGGCTTCATCCATTTCAGGCCAACATTGCTGAACGTCCGCCGCAGCTACTGCTTCAGTGCTTCCGTGCTCAGGATTGTTTGTAACGAATGCCACGTAACAATTGCATGCTCCTCATCAAAAAAACAGAAATTATCTCAGATGGCAATTTTATTCGGCCAAGCCAACTAGCACCAGCGGGGGTTGTGTGCATGCGGCAAAATATGTCTGGACGGTTTCCAAGCCCACTCCCCCCCTTCGTTTGCTGCCAATGCACAAAGAGCAGCCAGTAAATCCCAATCAGCCAGAAGCTGATGGATGCGCTCCGCCGCAACAACAACAACAACAACAGCGCCAGGAGCAGCAACAACAGCAGCACCAGGAGCACCAGCAACAGCAGCAACAACAGCAGCAACAACAGCAGCAAGCAACTGCCCAGGCACGTCCTCAGGCGTTAGCCTTCACACACCCGAAGGCTGGCTCTATGGTCATAGCCTCATTGCGGCAACAGGCGAATCCCATCATTAAGTGAGGCTGCTCCACAGCATCCCCAGATCAGCACAGCACTGGGGGCACGCCTCTGTCGCTGTTGTTGCTGTTACTGCTCCTGTTGAATACCTGCTGCTGCTGCTGAATACCTGCTGCAGCTGCTTGTCTGTCTGATCGTTGTTCAGGTTTTTCTCCTCCGTTCCTTTCTGTTTTGCACCGATAGCCCCGGACTTTTTAGTTGGCGTCGGTTCTTGTGTTGTGTTTTTAAGCCTGAAGTATCATCGCTTGCATCCGAAGCAGCTGGTGCAGCGGCTGCTGCCGCTGCAGCGGCGGCGGGAGCTGAGCCGGCGCTTTTTGCTGCTTCTGAACGACGTGGAGGGGGCGCATACTTCTTTGGGTAGGTCTTATTCCTCTTTCTCTCTCTGCAGTTTGTTGCTTTGCCCGATTAAAACCAGCAGCAGCAATACGGTAGAGGGATTAGCCGGAGAGGGGAGGGGGAGTGGCGAAAGGAGTAGCAAGGAGGCCTTCACTCTTGGTTCTCCTATCTTTTGTGTTCTGTCGGTCTCTCCCTGTCCCTGTCTCCATCTGCCTCTCAGACATTCCCCTTATGTCTTTCTCACTCTGTCTGCATTTGTCTCGCGCGTTTTCTGCAGCACAAGTTATCCTGCATGCATTTCACTACGGCTTTATTCTTCTTGTTGCTGCCTCCGGAGCAGAAGCTGCTGAGCTGCTACAGCAGCTAAAGGCCTCAGAAAATCGTGCCTCGGATTCCTTGCAACCTGCACTGGACGACCGACATGCGCCGCGCTGTGCAGGTTGGTTGGGTTAATTGCCGTAGATTTTGTCAGGAGTTTATTTTTTATTTGTGGGAGTATATATGAATAAAGAGTAATTATTAGAGTGGAAGGTGTGCTTCAAGAAATAGGACCACTGCCTTGCACGAGGGTAATTAGAAGAGCTGGGTGAAGGCGATACGTAGACAGCCGGTGCATGCATCTGCCGGTGTTGTCGCATTTTGAGCCGATTTTGTGGGAAGCTGAGGTGTATATCCACATGAACGAGCTGCATGCCTGGGCTGCATTTCAGTCATGTGCGGCGGGTCGTGTATTACTTGCTCCCTAGGTTGCATGTTTGTTGGCGCTGCAGAGGTGTTGCGGGTGTTACCGTCTGTGAACCGCGCGGACTTTGTTTCCCTGGCGAAAGAGTTCAGATGCATGCGGAGTATATTCAAGGCTCGGCAGCAGCAGCTGCAGCAGTGCCCGGGCATCGGGCCCAAGAAGGTCCGCGTGCTGCTGGCTGCCTTTGAAGAGCCCTTCTTCCCCGACACAGACGACAGGTTCACAGCGGCTGCAGCCACCCGCGGCATCGCAGCAGCAGAAGCAGCAGCAGCCAAACATGACACGGAAACGGACACCGCTGTAACCAACAACACAGCCGGAGGTGCAGACAGACAGCAGCAAAGAGCGGAAACCCTGAAAACAATTGCAAACTGAAACTTAAGGACACCGCTCGTAACCAAATATCAAGCAGAGCGCATGCATGCGTTCTGCTACGTCGGCCTTTGCACATTTGAAATTTGTTTTTTGTCTAATTTCTTCCTAGGTGTTTGTTTTACTTCCGTGTGGCCGAAGCGCAACCGGCGTTTTTCCAGTTCCCTCTTTAAAAACAAGTAAAGGAACAGTTACTTGCCGCCGAGGCATGTGGTGAATGCGCGAGGACATAACAAAGTTAAATGCAGCTGCCGCCGAGTGTATGCACACCCGACGGTGCCAATGGGCACAGACACAGAAGAACGGCAGTACGCAAGGCGGACCACACGCAATCTTGTGCAGAGCCGTCACACATCGCAGCTCACTGCACTTCTAGTAGATGGCCATCCGAGGGTTTAGGGTTTAGGGCTAGGCAGTGGGCCAGTTGACGCGGTAGACGTTCAAGTTGTCAACAGGGATGCTGTGGGAATACCACTCCACGCGCTGCTGCGGCGGCTCTGGCTGCTGCACTGCATGGAGACATTCATCCAGCGCAGAGCGAAACTCGCTAATGAGCTGTGAAGGCTGCATACACGCGCATACAAGTTGAACCCCCTTAACGCTAAACCCTAAAACTGTTCCGCAGCCTTGTCTACCTGTTAAAACCAGCAACAAAAACACCCCCCGCGTTTGTCCCCTCCGCGGCAGCAGCTGTGAACTGTGCGCCGCTCTGTTTAAATCTGCGTCCCTGTTCTTGAGCTTGTTTTAAGGCAAGTTTTGTGGTGCTGCGAGAAGAGAGGAACTTAGAGAGGATGTTGGCTCACAGTCTTTGTGCCAACAGGGTCGGTAATGCGTTTGCGGAAGGCGTCGCCGTTGAATTGAATAACAAATGTGCACGGATGTTCAACCTGCGCATGCAGAAAGAAACAGCTAGAAGTCCCATCCAAGAGTATCGCAAAAAAAAATGGCAACTCATCTACAGCGCTGTGCAGTACAGAAACGAAGAATATCCACAGCCTTCTCCTCTGCCCCTAGTGTGCATATATATATATATAGTGTATGGCCATGCAATACGTAAACTATGCATGTGCTTGGAATTGCTTGGCCAATGCAGGAGCATTTAGACACAGACTGGCATCAGCTCCGCTTCCACGGTGCAAGTATTACGAAGAATAATCCCAATACAACGCAGATGCATGTATGCAGATGTAGGCATGCACGTTCAAATTCATTTCTAGGCAGGGGTCCGGAGGCTTCCAGAGAAGGAGAGGTGAAAAAAAGAGGGCGTCAATGCCCCCAACAACACTAAAAGGCCCTGCTCACTCACCCCACAGTGGTAGGCAGCGCGCGGCACTTCATCCACATCCACTATGAGGAAATGAGTGTTGCGGCTGGACGACTGGGCTAAGGCGATGAACTGTTCAAGCAGCAGTTTGTTGTGGGTGTTGAAAGTGGCAGCGAAGAAGATCGCAAGAGGCGTCGGCGGCTGTCTGTACACCTCAGCCTCGAAGGCATCCATATCGTGGATAACCCGCACCACCCCTTCACAAGAACGTGTCATAGAGGCGGCGAGAGAGCCAAAGCTGACAGACTGCGCTGCTTCAGCAGCTGTTCGTTGCATTAGGAACGGGAACGCCTCTGTAGCAACGCCGGTGAATGAAGGGGCCTCTCCTGGGGGAGCTACGGTGCTGAACAGCCGTTGCTGAGGCCTCACTGATACGGGGAGTCGAACCTGTAGACTCGGAAGGAGAGAACAGCCTGTGCGCCATCCTCGTACCAGCCCAGCAGACATTGTTCTCAAAGCGCCTAGCGGGTGAACACGTGCGTTTCGCAAGCTTGCAGGGGTGGAAAGCACTTTCAGACAGTTTGTAAAATGCCCGGCATCTGCGGGAATAAATCCACAACCTCAGAATTCATCTTCAACGCTGAACAAGTCGGCGAAGGTCATGATGGTGTGCAAGGAACCTGGGGCTGCGACCTAGGCGGAACGCAAGTGTCGGCCACCATCGGAGCCGAGCTATAGCCCACATGACTATATTTTTAGCATCAAAATGAGGTTTAAAATGCAAGTTTTGAACAATGAAGAGGAATGGGAAACGTGTGAAGCCTGCTCAATGCTGATTTCTGAACAGCCAGCGCACGCATAAACTGTGTGATGAGTGAAGGGTTTTATGTTTATTTTAGAAACCACACCTAACGCATGAATTAGAGGTTCATTGCGTCGGATTTTTATCAAGACATGATTTATGTCATGAGGGAGTTATAGATTGCCTGTACAGCTCGGCTCAACATGAGCAGGCACCACAGAAGGTGCAGCGTTTTTCTTCGGCTCCCCCCTGTGAAGTATCTTGTATTCCTTCTGCTGGTGCATTTGCATCACGCTCGTAGTGCATTAAACCCATTTGTAGCGGAAAATGGAGCGAAAGATGCTGCTTGGGTCTTCTCCTCTGCATCCATCGGCCGAATGGTGCCCCTCCTACGCCGCGCCGAAGCCGCCACCCGATTGCGCAACCGTAAAGCCCCCTTATCTATAACATGTTTAAGCAGTTCTCTTTGCCGCAGGTTCGTGCTGCAGTGCTTATTCCAGGCCGAGCACAGGCAGGGGTAGGAAAGAAAAGATGCGCATGGAGGCAGCTGCAAGGACACGCCCAGACGTCTTTGCCACATCGTGTGTTTTTTGTTCTTAATTTGCAGTAGTTACGGAAGGCTCCAATAACGAAAGGAGGAAAGCGACAATCTTGCTGCGGCCTACTCCCGTTCCCGTCCTTCACCAGGCGGCCCTCTTACAGGCAGCACAGACGGCGTTTGCGGCGGAGGAGCGTTTGCTTCCTGGAGTTTTTGAATCACATGCCAGAACTCTCCTTGTCAGTCTCTGCTTTTTTACATTCGCAGATCTAAGTTACTCAGCTGCCATTTAGCGTCCGTTCTTCACCATAATTACTTGCAGGATAGCTCTCATGCATGCTCTGCTTCCCATTGCCAGCTTTGTTCGTCAGTTGCGGCTAAGTCGTTTTCTTTTGCCCTTCCACCACGGCATTACATTTGAACACTGTGAGCCTGCTGAGGCAACTTCGGTGTCTGTTCAGCATGTGCTTATTGCGGGTGTCTCAGCTGGTGCTGCACGCGGCCTTTTGTGGGGGTACAGACCCGCGAGAGGTGCTGCGGGTGGCGTTGGCGAATGCAGGCCTCGTGACGGGGGTGCTGGATGTGGGGGGCTTGTCTGAAGTTTCTTATTTTTCTTCTTGCGGGCAGCCCAAGTTTGCAGCGGATTCGTGGGAAGCCGTTGCGTCTGCAGAGGAGTTTGTTAGTGACGTGCAGCGCTTGGCAGTAACTGCGCAACGGTGTGTAACGACAGCACGAAGAGAAGGAGAGGAGACTCAGAATCATATTGCCAGATGAAACTCACTCTATCCTTCTTCCTTTAGAGGAGCTCTGCTTCTTCAGCGCAGAGCAGCGGACGGGATCGGCCGCTCACAAGGGAGCGGCAACAGCCACAGAGACGGATGTACAGAGAAAACATGGCTTGCTGGTTGTAGCCATCAACTGCTGCTTTTTCTTCTCCCTTCTGCTGCAGGGGGTTGGCCAGTTGCTTGTCTCACGCTGTAGGTGATGCATTCACAGCGCTGTTCCTGTTCCTAATGAGGAAAGTAGGGTATATGTATGCAAGCAAAGGAATTTGAAAACTTTTTTTTTCCAATTGTTGATGCTAATGTTAACAGGCGCTTCATTATCTCGCGGAAGATAATAGGACAGTTGTGATTTGTCTGTTGTAGCCAGAAGAAACAGAACCGCTGCTTCACTGGATAAGGATTGGTTTGAGAAATGCATAGGGGGGAAGTTTGCACTTTTGTGGAATATGAAATCCGAATAACGAAGAAGTCGCCTGGGCACCGACCCTACTGGCAATTTTCCTGCTTGCAGTTAATGCAGAAAAGCGAAGGGAAACAGATTATGCAACACAACCAATTTTTCAGTAACTGATGCCTTACGCGAACTCGTCAAGGCCAATGGTGAAGACCCGAAAGCACCGCTCAGAGTAAACAAATTGACTTCCGTTTCCCGGTATTTTAGTCGTCATGTTAACATGCCGTGTAACATCTGCTCTACGTCCCAGCAAGAAAGGGGTATCACGAGGCACTCGTCTTTGTGCTTTTTTTGGGTGGTAGAACCCAGCAGCTCTGTACTGAGCTTCGAACAATAAACCTCATAAAGCCAGGGTGCAGACGCAGCAACTGAGACTTGAGGCTGGAATCCAAGTTGGGATGCTAAGTGCGGCTGAAATCTGAGCTGGAGTGCTAAGACTATGGTAATAGAATAACATGAGAGTGACAATATGATAATTATTAACGTCCGTCTTGTCAATTCTGCCCAAGTGCCCTGTAAAGTGCCCTTTCTCGACTCCGACTTACAAACCTTGGGGCAGCAGAAAGCGCATCGCGGAAGGCTATGGAGTTTTTTGTTTCGTTTTTCTCTGAGCGCCATACATGCCGAGCCCTAAGGGGCTTCCATTGTGCACATCTCACCTAATTTGTGACAATAGTAACGTACATAGCACCCTAATAAAGAACGAACTACCAGCGCAAGAGGTGTCCACTGTGGAGAACTTGCGGAAATGGACAAATGTGCCGGATTCAGTCGGCCCTGCGACCGTAAACTCTAAACTCGCAACCTGCAAAGGTGGATAAGAATGTGTATTTCCCGTTTCGCATTATATGACGGCATTTTATCACCGCAAAAAATAGGAGTTTGCTGATGGGGACTCGAACAGCGATGCACGACGAGGAACAAGAAAAAGTTTTCTAGAGTGCGGCGCCACAGCCAAAATTTTTTGTATTGCCTAGGTAGCTGCACTAACCTGAGTCTGGGCTGCGGAAGGGCCCGTGAAGTAGGCGTCCTTTGCAGCATCCCTCGTGCATCTGAACACCTCTCTATTTCCGCCTATTCAAATGCAAGCTGATGGTGGTTATGCTACTTCCCTCCCGTTTCATGAATGCCGCATGAGCACGTGTGGACTACACTGGGCCCTGCGGAGTTTCCATTGCATATGAACAAAACCCTAGGCGTTGCCTCACATCAGTGGTTTCCTTGCAACGGATTATTTCGATGAGACGTGCTTGCGCAGAAGGTTCCAACTCCTACTACATGCATTGCAGCAGGCAGCATACGCATCATCATCCTAATACAGAAGGGAAATATTTCTCAAGACACCAAGTAGAAATTCCACTCTGACTGCATGGACTGATAGTTCTCTATGGATAGACTTCCAGCAATATTATTTTGATTGTCTTTCGTAGTTATCTTCTTCTTCGCAGTAGCTCCTGCTAAGGGATTACCAACGACTACAGGCCGCACAAACAAGGCTTCTGCCGAACGGCTACACAGCCGAAACGTTCACGCATTAGGCAGTAGTTACCGAGGCGACTGCCGCTCCGTACAGCCAGCCAGTTAGCTATCGCGGAACAGTGTTGAGGAGCTTTTACTCCAGTAGTCCCCGTCTTTGCTTCTCACTGCTTGCAAACCTTTGTTTCGTGCGCAGTTTGAGCGTGTTCCGAGCTTCCAAAGTAACTTTCCCTTGGTTAACATTATCTCGCCTTTTTCCTCCTTTCCTCACTGTTCCGTGCATGCATACACAAGCAAGTGCACGGCAAACGACTTGCCGAGCACCGAGGAAGCGCATAGACACAACTAAAATTTTTGACTGAATTGTTTGGCCCTACATGTGCGTTATGTGAAAAATTGTGTGCATGGCAACCGTCCACATGCTTGGCCGACACTTCGTGTGAACGGCAGGGGTGCGCAGACCTGCGCAGAATGCAATAACGAGCCAGCATTTCAAGAGGCACAGGCAAAAGAGATGTTTGGCTCGCGAAAAAGACAGGTAATGGTGATTCGCTACACTTGTGCTCTATTTCATGGGCAAAGGGCTGCAAATCAACACCCGTGACCAGTGCTCGATGGCAGTGGGGCGAGGCAGCGAGAACTGTATGGCTTTTAAATACGACTGCATTATATAGAGCTATGGTGAACAGAACACCAGTGTTCTGAAGGGAAAGAGAGATAAATAAATATTACTACATTCGTTGCAGTCCCAAGCTTTGCAACACTGCTGACGCCGACCACCTGTCTCACACAAGCACGTCTCCCTGCTCGCGTGCTGTGTGCTCTGTGGGTCACCTGGTGAAAGCGGCACACTCTAACCTCTCCTCGCGTTAATAGGGTCAGCCTTTGTATTTGTCAGGCAAATATCCCTTTATATTCTCCTAGGCCTCTTCTGTCTACTTCATCGCTGCCCACGACACCAGAAAGGGGGATTGTTTCCGTCTCATGCCCTGCGACACCGCGGCTGTGGCGAGTCATTCCGGAGCCCGACTTCGCCTGAACCTGCTCGTTCGTTGCTTGCGGGCTGTTCATTTCCCCCTTCATGTGTTTTCTGGAGCTTCTGGCTATGCAAGACAACAACTTATCGGCTGCATAAACCCAAAATTCAACTGTTCCGCGGTTGCGACCTTTGGGCTCGCGTGGAGAGCGTGCGAAGCCGCCGTTTCCAAGCGGGATAGTCTGCTAGGTACCGACAAAACCCAACTGATAATAATGCAATTGCCTCAGGCATCCCCATAATAATGGACGTATTCGCCTAGTACTGCAGGAAGCTGTGGCTGCGGAGCGTCACACTTCACGGCCGAACGTAAACTAAGAACATCCCTGAAGGAAGTTTCAGACTAAAACCGTTTGGTGCCGCAGGGTACACGCAAAGGAAGGCAACAGCAACTTTTTCTCAGCTGTGGTTGGAGCCCCTGCTGCACTGAGTGGTTCTATACGCCCAAGGGGGTTGATCCGAGCGCCGGTCTAGGCGCGCGTGTTACTCCTTTGGAAGTCAGTCGACCAAGCGCTATTTTCTCAGGGAGAGAGTCGAGGACAAATCCAATAAGCGCATGTTGGGATGTGTTTTAGACAGAAGCTTTGATACTTGTACTTTGAGAAGGTCGCTCTTCGGCCCTCCCTACAGTCACGCTTGATTTCGTTCCCCAGGCCAGTTGTCGAACACCTCGGCGCATGTCTTCGAAAATGGTTGAAGTGAAGGGGAAATTAGCGGAGTCGTCCACTGCGACTCAATCCGACACTTCGGAAACAACGAGTCCCTCCAACCGCCCCATGAGTCCCCCCATCCAAGCACTGTGGAAGAAGCTGTGTGGTAACCCGTTCGCCACAACGTTCGATAAGTGGGCAAAGGAAATACCGGACGAAGAGGCAGTTGTATGGTTGAATGGAGAAGGAGATGTTGCTGAAATAAGGACCTACAAGCAGCTCGTCGATCAGATTTATGAACTTGCAGGTTTTCTGCGTGAAATAGGGATCAAGCAGAATGACCGGCTAATCTTGTGCTACCCTCCAGGAATAGATTTCATAGTTGCATTTTACAGCTGCATCATTTCGGGCATCGCAGCTGTCCCTGTTTACCCCCCAGATCCCACGAAGGGGATGACGGATATTCCGCGTTTCTGCGATATTGGAGACGGTGCTGGAACTAAGAAGGCCCTCACGTCTACTACGTATCGTCGCGTAGCTGCAGCTATGTCTGTTGTATCACGGGAAAAAAGATGGAAGGAAATAGAGTGGATCTGCACCGATTCCATCAAGAAGAGCAGTGCTCCCGTGGCTCGCTCCCATATTGCTCTTGATCCCCACTCCATCGCGTTTCTCCAAGTAGGCACGGTGTACAGGGACCTCCCCCAATGTTGGCGCCTGGGCATAGCTGAACAGCTCTACAGTGGTGCTATTGCTACACAGCACCGCAAGGCCACAAATGCATGCCTGACTGCCTGTTGCATAAATGCGGTCGTGCTGCTTTATGCTTGCGCAGTTCACTTCGGGGAGTACATCTGAGCCAAAAGGTGTCATGGTGACGCACGCCTCTCTGCTACACAATATGCATTTGTGCTGGCATTCATTTGAGTTCCCAACCCATTTGGAAACGAAAGACCCCAACGAACACTTTTCTTCCCGCAACTATGACTTTTTCGACCTGGAGGACTTCTGGAAGAGAAGGCACGCACTGTCTGTGGCCCGAAGGGGACACAGAGTTCGAGCGTTCTCTTGGCTACCAGTATACCACGATATGGGGTAAGAGCAACAGACATTTCAGTTCAAAAGGCAACGCCAGGACTCAGACCCCAGCGGTTTGCCCAAGTGTAGTCAGCTGCCCAAAGCATTGCTGATCGCTTGGTGCGTGATTCTCGCTGCTTCAGGCTCATTGGGTTTGTGTGCTGTCCAATGTTCTGTGGAGCTGCCCTCTACCAAATGTCTCCAATCGACTTCATTCGGCGACCCTGGGTGTGGCTCAAAGCCTTGAGCCAGTATGAATGCGTGTGCAGTGCGGCACCTAATTTTGCCTTTGCACTTGTGACACGCAAGATGCCGGACAATGTGTATAACCAGCTGGACCTCTCCCACGTAACAGGTATCTTATCTGGTGCAGAGCCTGTTCGAAGGCAGACCGTGGAGCAGTTCGTGGAGGTAAGCACAAGGAACTGGAGGCTCGACACAGTGCACATCTGTCCGAAGCCATTCTGTGGGTGACTGAATTCAGGGGGTAGTGGCCTTTCTTGATTGTACAGTGTTTCTGGTGGTATTCATACGCCTCTGCAGAAATTCGCTTCCAAGGGTATTCAGCCTCGGACTGTGGCACCAGCGTACGGTCTTGCTGAGCACACGCTCATTGTAACTGGAAAGGGGGACTGGAAATCCAGCGCCAGTGTTCTTTATGTTGACGCTGTGAAGTTGCGAGCTGAGCGCATCGTTGAAGTTTTCACGCCGGAAGAAGCAGCAGCGAAACCTCCGGGCGAAGTGCAAGACGTCGTCAGTTGTGGCTTTCCGTTCCAAGGCGTAACTGGTGAGTCCATGATAGGCTACTATGAATTCGAAGCAAGCCGCTGCACTGATATAAAGGCAAAGGGTGTGCGGTTGTTTCAATTTTTGTGCAGTTAAAATTATGGACCCTGAAACCAATCGAGAACTGCCAGATAGGCACGTTGGCGAAATCGTTGCATTCAGTGAATCCGTTGCTCTTGGATATTTCAACAAGCCGGAACAGACTGAGAGCACGTTCCGGGTCTCTGTAAAAGATGAACAAGGAAACAGCACTCCAGCTACTGGACTGCGGACTGGCGATTGCGGCTTTATGCACAAGGGAGAGCTCTACGTGACTGGCCGATTTAAAGATATAATCATCATCAGAGGCCGCAACTACTACCCCTCAGATATCGAAGAGGCAGTTTTAGAAGTTCCGCAGGTTCGCCCAGGATGCGTAGCTGCATTTGCAATTGAGGCGGATTCAAACGAAGTTTTGGGACTAGCAGCCGAGCTGCGTGTCGAAGACGGCTTGAGGGGTGTATGGGCACGCGTCCGTCGTCAACTCTTTGATAGATCGAGCTACGATCAAATTGTGAAAAATATCTGTAAGGCAATCGCCAGCTCCACAGGCCTCGTCGTGCAGAGGGTGTGGCTTCTAAGACCTCGAAGCCTGCCGAAGACTAGCAGTGGAAAGCTTCGAAGGTCTCTCGCCCGCGACAAGTTGCTCGAAGGCAAATTGGATGGCGTTATTCATACATATACCCATCATACTCATCAAGCAGAAGGTCTGCCAGGCGCCGCGAGAGGCATTTCCCATGCTCCCAGCAAGCATACTCTTCATCAGAGTTCCGAACCCGCACACAAGGGACATGAGGAATCCGCACCAACTCATGAGGCTGTGGTCAAGTCCGTTAGAGAGGCGGTGATTGATGCGGCAAAGAACGTGCTTGGAGAGGTTGACGAATTGCCAGACATGCAGGCCCCACTGCATGAATTAGGAGTTGACTCGATTGCTGCCGTGGAGCTAGCGGAGCTCGTGTCTGAAAAGTTGAACATAGACATCGAACCAACATTAATGTTCAATTATCCGACAATGGAAGACATCATAGACTTCTTGGTGCGGGAAATAGAGGGAAAGGGTGGAGAAGATGCACTAACTGTTAACACTAACACCTCGGAAGTCACAATGGCTGTTGTGGGCGCCGCATGCAACTTGCCTGGAGGCAGCACATCCCTTAGTTCATTTTGGGATGCTCTCATGTGCGGCGTCGATGCAATGGTGGAGGTTCCACGGTCAAGGTGAGCCACCAAGCTGCTTTGTCCTCTATTATATTGTCTGCTGCATTAGCTGGGCAACCTTTTCTTTTGCAGTGGAAGTGAATACGGGCCTAAATTAACTACCACCACCGGCCTTGAACTTCGTTGTGTTGCAGATGGGATGTAGAGGACTATTTTGACCCAGATCCAGACGCAGAAGGCAAGATGTACATCCGTGAAGGCGGTTTCATTGAAAATGCTGAGTTTTTTGACGCCTCGTTCTTCAGAATTTCACTGGCAGAGGTACATATCCTCCTCCTCAAACTGTTTCTAACGAAGGGCTTCTGTGGCGCTACACGGACGAATGGCAGCTTTTTTTTCTTACCCATTTATTCCCTACTGTGGCATATTTGTGCAGGCATCAAGTATGGATCCTCAACAAAGGCTTCTGCTAGAGGTCGGCTACGAGGCCTTGCACGACAGTGGCTTTGACAAGGACACCTTGCTGAGGGCAAACATTGGAACGTTTGTAGGATGCTGCTGCAATGAATGGCAGCAGACCTGTGCTCAAATGGGTCTGGGGATCAGCAGCTTCACCGCAACTAGTCACGCCCCCTCTATTTTATCAAACCGTCTGTCATACACGCTTGGGATGCTGGGTCCGTCCTTAACAGTTGATACTGCATGTTCTTCTTCTCTTGTAGCGCTGCACCTGGCCATTCAAGAGCTCAAGGCTGGAAGCTGCAATTCTGCCTTAGTGGCAGGGGTGAACCTCATGCTGTCCCCGAACGTTACAGTGGCGTTCTGCAAGGCTCGTATGATGGCCCCAGACGCTCGTTGCAAGACATTTGATGCCAGTGCAAATGGGTATGTGCGTGGGGAAGGGCTAGGTGCAATCGTGATCAAACCACAGACGGAGGCTATGAAAGACAACAGTCGTATTCTGTGCATCGTCCGGGGGACTGCAATTAACCACGGAGGACGTGCGGCTAGCCTGACCGCACCTAGTGGTCCGTCGCAGGAGCGAATAATTCGGACAGCCCTCCGAAACGCCGGCGTATCTCCGGACGAAGTGCTTTTTGTAGAAACACACGGGACTGGGACTTCTCTGGGAGATCCGATAGAGATTGGCGCTCTCAAGGCCGTTTTCAGGTCCAGCAGGGACTCCCCGCTCCTCCTAGGTGCGGTTAAAACTAATATTGGGCACCTTGAGGGTGCGGCAGGTATTGCCGGGTTTCTCAAGGCTGCGTTGGCTCTTCGACATGAACAGATTCCCCCCAATCTACATTTCAAGACTTGGAATCCGCACATTGACCTCAAGGGTGCGAAGTTCGTATGCCCTGTCGTCGCGTTGCCGATAACGCCAGCAACGGGGAAACAGCGGATTGGCGGAGTTAGCTCCTTTGGTTTCGGAGGAGCAAACGCGCATGTGGTGCTGCAGGAGGCTCCACATCCATGCGTTGGTAGGCGTCCATGCAAGGCTCAAAAGCCCACACTAGTCTGCTTTATGTTCGGCTGCCAAGGAGTGGAGGGCTTGCACAAATGTCGAGTGCTGTACGAGAGCGACCCGGCCTTCGCAAAAGCCCTCAACGACTGCGGCGATATTCTTAAACGTTTAGTTAGTGTACCACTTCTTTCCATTCTCTTTTCCGAGAAAGACCCACCGAAGGCCACGGAGCGGGGTCACAGCCAACAAACCCAACACTGGCTGCGCCAGACGCGTTTCGCGGATCCAGCACTATTCGCATTTGAATATGCCATCGGAAGCAGCCTCATTGCACAGGGAGTCAAACCAGATGCTGTCATGGGGGTAGGTGTTGGGGAATTCGTTGCCGCTGCCATTGCAGGGGTCATGAGCTTGGAAGACGGGCTACGGGTTGCGTGCCAAAGGGCCAAACTTGTGGAGACATTCCTTCCAGCAGATACGGTTGCCGTAGCTTGTAGGGTTGGTGAAAAGGACGTAGAGATGGCTATTTCCGAGGCTGGAGGAGCAGCTGGCTCTACTTCATCGGTTGCTATGTCTCTAGTTTACGGGCAAAAGCAATTGGTCTTAACGGGGGTTCAATCAGAGTTGGAATCCGTGTTGATGAAGCTCGACATAGCTGGTCGGTTCAAATATCTGCCTGACCGTCTGGGCTTTTCGTCGCCACTGCTATCAGATGTGGTGACTCCCCTGGCTCGGATCATCGGTGGTGTGAAGCTTTCGCGTCCCACCGTGAAGATGATCTGCCCCACAACTGGAGAGTTCTGTGACGAGCAAGTCCTTAGCGCCCATTACTGGACCCGACACTTGATACGGACAGTACGGCTCGACCAGTGCATCAGCAATCTTGTTTCAGCTGGATGCAAGCTACTCGTGGAAATCAATGGACGGGCAGCATTGATCCGAATGGGCCAGCAGAGCGTTGACGAAATGGCAAAGGATGTTGAGTGGGTGTTTGCCTTTCCAGCAGCTGAGGAAGAAGCAAGTGACAGGCAGACATCGCCCGTTCAAAAGTGCCTGAATGTTATTGATAGGGTTGGTGAGCAGCTCGAAATGGAGCACGGTTTACATGGACAGGATGAATTGCTCTACCACCGAAAACCAATCCCGTGGGTCCAGATTCCCCACCCTTTTGTTGGTAAGCATCGAGAACTTGGGGATGGAGGATCAATTTTCGAGACATCTTTCCCTCGCCGGGCAGTGCCGTTGTTTGCCGACCACATGGTAAACGGGAAGGCTATGATGCCTGGCATGGGGATGGCGGAAATTATTGCTAGTGCTGCGTTTGCGCTTGATCTGAAGACCCCATCTGGAGCCGTTGCACTAGAAAATGCATTTTTTGAGAGGCCAATGCTGATTGGCTCCCAGCGTGTTACTTACGAGTTCAACACCCGAGCAGGCAACCGCAGTTGCGGCAGGCTCAGCCCCCGCACAGTCAGGACTCCGAGAAGAGTTAATGACGCTTATGTCCGCAGACCACGGGCAGACAGCGAATCCCGCGGCTTCTCAACACCAGGACTGGCAAGTCCATCGCTAGCCCCAAGTGCCTGGCTCGTTTCGCCAGTCAGCAGTAAGGAGAGCACTCCAAAACTAGCGTCGTCAGACCCGCGCTCGAAGGACATGCGGCTAAAAGCGGAGTTGGAAGAAGTCACTCAGTCCCTTTTGTCGAACCGTTGGGGATTTCCGGATGACCAGGTTGTCCCTCAAGACGTTGAAATGACGATTCGATGCCACGTCATGAAGAACCTAGGCGTTGAGCTGAGCAGCGTGTGGGACGACGAAACAAATGTTCATTGTAGCGCCCGGGTTGTTCTCAGGGACCAGAATAAGGAAGAAGCATTGCCGTCTTTGAAGGATTTGCAAGCTCGGTGCAATCAGCCTGTTTCAGTTAGCCAGCTGTACGAAACCCTGTTTGATTTAGGTCTTCAGTATGGGCCGCGTTTCCGCTCTGTCAACAGTATTTCGCGGTCAGAATCAGAGGCGCTAGCTCGCTTGATGCTGCCCGAGGGATGCAAACAGGACTCGTTTGAGAGCGGCTTCCTAGTGCATCCTGCCCTTCTTGATGGAGCGCTCCACGTGAGGAAAAGCATAGGGTGGCTGCATTTACTGATGTACTGTACTTAGAGCTGTAGTGCCCATTGAATTCAGCTGCGGTTTCGGGAGTGGTTAATGTTCTGCTTCTTACGCTGTCGCTGTGTTGTCTTGTTGCAGGTTGCCGCTTCGCTGATTGGGAGGCATGCGTCTGGGACTCATGTGTCTATGGTCCCAGTTGGGGCTGGCTCCATATGGCTGAGGAAGTTGGAAATTAAAGCAGGCTGCTGGGCACATGTGGAACTGTTGGAATGTAGATCGCGCTCGGCGGTGGTGAATGTCCGGATTTTTGATGACAACTGGCAGGTAGTCGCATCACTTGAGAAAGTTGCCCTAAGAAACGTTGATATTGGGGGCAGCGTTGGTGCAAGCATCCCACGAGATCTTATTTGGAAGGTTAGATGGGAGAAACGAGCAGAGCTGACGTCTCAGGTACAAGATCACGCAGCTACTACCAAGGGGCCAGTGCTCGTCCTGGGGGGTAGCTTGCAACTAATGGAAGCACTTTCGCATGCACTTGGTGGAGAAGGCTACGGCAGAGTGCTGAGTATTGAAGATATTCCCTCAACAAGGGCCAAAGTCCAAGACCTGCTCTCAAGTGGGAATTGGAGGGCAATAGCCTTTGTAGAGGCGCTGACTGCTGATGAGTATGCCTTTCTGGACATACCTCACGCAGCGATTCGTCTTCTGCAAGCTTATGCTTCATTGCTAAATAATGGGGTACCTGTTCCCCCCATGTGGTTCTTCACTAAGGACATTATGGAACCGACAGAAGAAGAGAAAATTCCTCCGCAGCCTGACCTTCCTGCTCACGCTGGACTTTGGGGGCTTGCAAAGGCAGCTCGATTGGAGATTGAAGTTTCCACTGGTAGCACGACTCAGATTGGCTGCCTTGACATTGCCCCTCTAGAAAAAGACGACGACGTTGCCAAAGCCGTGGTAACTTTTCTGCGCTCCAGCATGGCAACATCGGATGAAAACGAGTTGGTGCTCCGGGGTAACACCTTGTATGCAGCGCGGATCGAGAAAAGCGACTTGGCTGTTCGTGGAGCGCTTGAGCTATACATGCCAGAAAGAGGTGCCATTTCAAACTTGGTGGTACGGCCGCAAGCCTTTGCAGCCAGGGTGCCACCAGAACACAACCAAGTTGAGGTTCGCGTGCGGGCTGTTGGTCTCAACTTCCGTGATGTGCTCAACGTTATGGATCTTTATCCTGGAGACCCTGGACCTCCAGGTGCGGACTTTTCTGGAACAGTGGTGGCCGTAGGGGATGAAGTGGAGCACGTGCGCGTGGGAGACCGTGTTTATGGCATTGCACCTGGAGCCTTGCGCACCTACGCGACGACTGACGCTGACCTCGTCCGCCGCGCTCCGGATTCCCTTGGTTTTGAAGAATCTGCTGCACTGCCGGTGGTAGCAGTGACTGTAGAATACGCCTTGGGAGACCGAGCGCAAGTAAAGGCTGGTGACAAGGTCCTCATACACACGGCAACAGGCGGCGTAGGACTTATTGCCATCCAGCATTGCCAGAAGGTAGGGGCAACAGTTTATGCAACGTGCAGTGGGGGTGTCAAGGAAGAGCATCTGAAGTCCGCCGGGATCCAGTATATCACAACTAGCCGAGACTCCAAGACCTTCGCAAAGGAGATGCGCGAGTTCCTAGGACCTGATGGACACATAGATGTAGTGCTGAACACTCTCGTAGAAGATTACATTCCGGAGTCCCTGAAGCTCCTAGGACCAAATGGGCGCTTCATGGAGTTGGGCAAAAGGGGCATTTGGACGCATGAGCAGATGAAGGAAGCTCGCCCAGATGTTTACTATGAGACTATCGCTGTGGACACCATGATGGAGGAGGATCCTGCATGGTTTGGTGGCATGCTTGATAGAATCAGGGAGCGGGTGGAGAGCGGAGAGATAATCAGCCTTCCCCTGAAGGTGTTTGACATGGAGGATCCTGTTGAAGGGGGAGTAGCTGCATTCCGGTTTCTGCAGCGAGCCCAGCACATTGGAAAGGTTGTCATTC